TGAATAGGGCAGAAAAGTAAACTGTCAGGACAGTTACACAATTACAATATTCCTTGTAGTACATTAGGGCGAAGATGAGGTTCCATATAGTCCAGATATGGAGTCCAGACTTTATAAAACAAGCCTGTTTTTTGATGTAATACATAGGTAAGACGCTCCAGGGGGAATCAGCTCAAAAATGATCTTATGCCAACCTTTAAGTGATGGAGATTTATCACTAATCCAATTAAGTAAAATATTTGTTCTGGCAGCAAAGGAGAGAATATTATACAATTTCTTGTTAGCAAATGAAACAATGCATTTATTAGGTATACCCAATACCAATGAGACTGGGTCAAAATCCAACTGCATATTAAAGATCTTTTCCATTTCCCCCAGCACCAAAAACCAATACCTTTGCAGTCTGTTACATGACCACAGACAATGTGTTAAAGTACCTACTTCAGTTTTACATTTTAAACACATAGGCGATATAAAGGGGTTAAAAAAATGCCTGCGGTTAGGAGAAATATGGAGTCTATGTATGATTTTAAATTGTATTTCTCTTGTACGTGCACAAACAGATATTCTCTTAGCATGAGACCAAATGTCATCCCATGTTTCATCATCAGTATCAGTAGCTAACTCTTCCTCCCATTTAGTTTTAATTGTCTGTGTATCAGCAGAAGAAATTGAACACATAGCACCATAAAATCTACCCAAAGACATTTTTCCCGATGATAAAAATAATAACCTCTCAATAGAAGATATCTCACAATTTCTAACAAGTGTTGTGTTATTAGTAATATAATGTCTCAATTGGAGGAATCGAAAAAAAATTGTGTTTGAACAACTGGTACTTCTGAGTTAACTCCACAAATGACATTAATTTATTTATCTGAAAGCATATCCCCAAGCCTAATAAGTCCCAAATTACACCAACGTTTAAACCCTTCATCCAAAATTCCTGGGGTGAAATCATGATTGTTTAATATTGGGTAAAGAAAGAAGTCAATTTAGATCTACCTTCAATCCTACAGACTGATCTCCATGCTTTCAGAGTATTAACTATAATTGGGTTATCATATATCTCTTTTATGTTTTGAAAGCTCTTAACAAAAAGAAGAGCTCTTAAAGGAAATTGTGAAAAGGAGGATTCAATATCTAACCAAGTAGAGGAAGAATCATTCCTAACCCACTCTGCAATGTATCTCAGGTGGGAACTTAACTGATACATCTTAATATTTGGAAAATCGAAAATCCAGATAGAATTTGGAAGATAAAGTACTGATAATTTTAATCTAGGTTTGCGTTTACGCCATATACCATATAACATCCAGCTATTCAGGCCCTTTAATGCCCTATTTGAAAACAGTATCGGAACCATTCGAATAGGATATAACAATTTGGGTAACACAATCATCTTTACAAGTGCTATCCGACCCAGCAAAGATACTGGCAAGGAATTCCAACGTTCTAAATCCTGCCGTATTTTCTCAAATAAAGGAACAAAATTAGATTCATACATCAGCTTCAAAGATGTAGAGATAGAAATACGCAAATAGATGAAACCTAGAGGTGACCACTTAAAAGGAAAACAGGGCACAATGTTAGGTTTAGAAATAAGAGTACCTAAAGGCATAGCTTCAGATTTAGTTAAATTAACTTTATAACCAGAAAAGGTACTGAACCAGTCAATCAACTCAATTAGAGCGGGAACTGACTGGGGTACTAAAATTTTATTTCCAGCTAACATTGTCAGGATACAGACTCCGTGTGTGTGAGAGAATATGTGTATAACAGCACTATTGCCTTTTGCCAAGGAGGGCGTTTGCTCATGTAGCTTGTAAAACTCAGTGTCTGGGCACCCTTTAAGCTTTCTCTATGAAATATCACTCATGTTCTTGCTGTCCAGTGATAAAAGAGCCAACAGGATTTGGAACTGATCTACAGAAGAGGCCACCTGTTGCAGAGGACAAGAGAGATAAAGCACGAATCATTACTAGTAGATAATATTATATGTCACGTAAGTCCTCATTTTGTTAATAAGCCATACGATTTAATGCATGTAAAAACCATTTTGGTGCTAAAGGTTACATGTAAGCAAATATGCAAACTTGTAGGGGTAGTTCAACAAAAAATAAATAAATAAAATAAAAATAATAAATAAATTCTGTCATTATTTATTCACCCTCATGTTGTTCCAAACCTGGAAGATTTTTTGTTTGTTTGTTTGTTTTTTGTCTTTGGTGAACTGTTCCTTTAAGTGACCTTCATAAGAAAATCATACAATTATTTTACTTATCTTCTAGTATTCTATTGGAAAGTGTTGTTTTCAAGATAATTCTATAGGTAATGGATAATTAAAAGTGCGAATGTGATGTGAAAGTCAACAAACAGATCAGGAGGTCTGCAGGCTCACAAACTTATTTCATCCTTCCTTTCGCCCCCTCACTTATTTTTTTTCTCTCTTTCTGCTTCTCTCATTCTCTTCCTTAACTCTGTTCCCATCCATTTTGTGGCTGATGGAGTCGGTTGTTCATTCTTCTCATAAAATCAAATCAGCAGTGGTCTTGGGACCTTGGTGTGTATCAGAGGGTGAACACAGGGTCGTCTCGTTCTCTTTGCTCATCTTTAAAAAGAAAGCTATGCCCAAGGCCTGGAGATAGAGACTGATAAAAGGCAGCAGAATGCAAGAAAGAAAGAAACGAAGGATAGTGGGGAGAGGGTGGAAAAGAGATGGTTCATTGTTGGGTGGGCAGTCCCATCACTTGATGTCTGTGGCACTCCTCAACCCTGCAGCTGGGTTCTGTTGCCCTCACAAACTGTCTTTCTTCTTCCCAACAACGACCATGGCTTCAGGGGTCACAGAAGATGCCTGCCCTGCCACGTGATGGCGCTACAGATGTGGTGAGAGAACTTTAACAGCTAGAGCAAAAAGCAAATGCGTCAGAAAAAAAACAAGGGTCACAATACTGTCCTTGTATCTCTCTACCAGCTGCTGTATTTAACAGCTGCAATAAAGAGCTTATTTGAAAAACCTGAAAAAATAAGAAATTGGATGCCTCAGACTTTTTAAGGGATGGCTCTGTTTGTCTTCTCTCTGTACTACAACACCTAATGCCTCATGCATATGTATACAAGTGTTTAAATCAGACCTCTAGCTCTGATCTGAAGATAAAAGAATGAGCACTGCTCAACCCTGCTCACATCTATCAACCTTTGCCCAAGTCATACTGCTGTGGATTTGGAACTGTGGTTTGGTGGTGTGAATTTGACACTGAATATTTCTCTTTATTTATTTTTAAACGTGATAAATCAGAGAATTAACATGTTAATGTTTTCTAAACTTTCCCAAAAATTATGTTCACATGGAACTATTCCCTCAGTGCACTACTGTAGTTTTCTACTGTAGTTTGTTTAAAAAAAGTTTTTACATTATAATTTCCAATATTTATTTTTTCTATTTGACATGACAGAGTGGAACGAGAGCACTTTTCCATCACCTTGACCACATAAACACTACAGCTGAATATAGACTAGCTGCAATTTTTGAGTGATTATTCTTAAATCTGCGTAGTGTATTGAATCGTCTGTGAATCGGTCCACGCATCCCAGAAACCCCCGGGTCGTGTCGAAGCTGGCAACGGTGACGTCACTCTATAGTTTGGACGCTGAAAACACGTGGCCTCTGTCAACAGTTTTGCGTCAATCATCAATGTTTCGGACGTAACTTGTGTATTCCAAACTCAGAACGATTCACATATGTTTAAATATGACTGTCACTTTAAAAGCAGTCTATACATGGCCTATGAGTTGCTTTAAGTGGTTAATTTCATGGAAGTTCCTGCTCTTTTGTCCGCTGAAGCATAGAATGGAATCGCACCTATAGCCTATTATCAAAAAAAAATCTATCAAAATGTTTTGAAAATTGTGGCCCCTTTAAAAAGTTTTCCATTTATTGGATTGACCACAGCTTTAGATTGAAAACAGGGAGGAATTTAGAGTCTTACAGCTTAACATATTACAGCTGTGATCACACTGGACTAAGCACAGACAGGTTTACTGTGATTTCTCCAGTGGGGAAAGAGATACGCCCTTAACATGTGATAAGTCTGTCCAAAGGCAAAATTGTGGGCCTAAGGAAGGAAAGTATATCTGAATATAGACTTAAAATCTGTAGATATTTTTTGTTCACTTAGATTTTTACCTCTTGAAGCCAGGACATTTTTTACTAGTTTTCCCACATTTCTTTAGCTCCTAGTGATTTTTTGTTTGTTTGTTTATTAAGGCTAGTGAACCCTTACCTAAAATTGAATTTGCTTAAGTCCATGTCTTGTTTTTCAAAAGTCCAAAACAATATTTTGTCGTCCCATGATATTTGCCTGTGTTTTCTTTAATCCACCATTCTGATTAATCTGTTAATCTCATCATCTCAAAGCTGGTCTGGAGGGGCTAAATGATGATTGAAAGGCCAATGAGGATTTGTTCTTCTATAAAAATCACTATATTAAATGACATTTTAAAATAGATTTATACATTTCGTTTCAAATATGTAATATATGAGGGGAGGGCAAGAAAAATCTTTGTACAGAGG